AAAGCAAACCCAAAGCAAACCAAAGTGAACCGAAGGCAAACCAAATGCAAAACAAATTCAAACGAAATGCAAACCAAAAGCCAAACGAAGCAAACCAAAAGCTGATCAAAAGCAACCCAAAACCAAACCAAAACTAACCAAAGTCAATCCAAAGGTAAACCAAAAGCAGACCAAAGGCAAAACCAAAAGCAAACCAAAGGTAAATCAATAGCAGTCCAAAGACAGACCAATAGCTAACCAAAGGCAAACCACAAACAAGTCAAACCCAACTAAAAGCAAGCCAAAAACAAACCAATGGCGAAGCACAAGTAAACCAAAATGAAACCAAAGGAAAGCCAAGAGCAAACCAAGGGCAAATCAAGAGCAAAACAAAGGCAACGCAAAAGCCAACCCAAAGCAAACCAAAGACAAGCCAAAGGAAACCAACAGCAAACCAAATGCAAACCAAAGGAAACCAAAGGAAACCAAAGGCAAACAAACGGTTATCCAAACGCAAACCAAAGCCAAACCCAAAGCAAACCAAAAGCAATCCGACGCAAACCAAATGCAAACCAAATGCAGACAAAAAGCAAACCGAAGCACACCAAAAGCAGACCAAAGGCAAATCAAAAGCAAACCAAAGTCAAACCAAAGGTAAACCAAAAGCAGACCGAAAGCAAACCAAAGATAAACCAATAGCAAATCGAAGGCAACCGATAGCAAGCCAAAGGCAAAACCAATTATGAACCAAAGGTAAACCAAAACGAAACCAAAGGAAAGCCAAGAGCAAACCAAGCGCACACCAGAAGCGAACCAAACCAAAGCCAACAGCAAAAAAACGCAAGCCAAACCCAAACCAAAAGCGAAGCAAAAGCAAACCAGTGGCGAACCAAAGGTAATGCAAAATGAAGCCAAAGGAAAGCCAAGAGCAAACCAAAGGCAAACCAATAGCAAACCAAATGCCGCCAAAAGCAAGCCAAAGGAAAACCAATCGTAAACCACAGGAAAACCAATGGCAAACCAAAAGCAAACCAAAGGAAAACCAATGGCGAACCAAAGGTAAGCCAAAACGAACCCGAAGGAAAGCCAAGAGCAAACCAAAGGCAAACCAATAGCAAACCAAAAGCATCCAAAAGCAAGCCAAAAGAAAACCAATGGCAAACCACAGGTAATGCAAAGGCATTCCAAAAGCAAACCAAACGCAAACCAAAGGAAAAAAAGAGGCAAACCAAAAGCAAGCCGAAAGCAAACCAGAGGCAACCAAAGGCAAGCCAAAGGAAAACCAAAAGCTCAACCCAAACCAAGAACCAAAGGTAAACCAAGACGACACCAAAGGAAAGCCAAGAGCAAACCAATGGCAAAACAAAGGCAAACCAATAGCAAACCAGAGGCAAGCCAAAAGCAAGCCAAAGGAAAACCAAAAGCAAGCCAGTAAACAAAAAGCCAGCCAAACGCAAACCTAAGGTAAACCAAAGGCAAAAAGCAAACCAACAGGCAACCAAAAGCAAGCCAGGTGCAAACCAAAAGAAAACCAAAGCAGGCCAAAGCTGCCCAAAAGCAAAGCAAAGTAAACCAAAGGCAAACCAAAGGTGAACCAAATGCAAACCATTGGCAAACCAAAAGTAAACCTAAGGTACACCAAACGCAAACCAAAAGCAAACCAAAAGGAAACGACAAGTAGACCTAAGGCGCAAACCAAAAGCAAACCAAAGGTAAACAAAAGGCAAGCTAAAGATAAACCTAATGCAAACCAAAAGCAAACCAAAGGCAAACCAAAAGCGAACCGAAGCAAACCAAAAGCTGACCAAACGCAAACCGAAAGCAAAACCAAAAAGCAAACCAAAGGCAAACCAAAGGCAAAGTAAATGTAATTTAGAGGTAACCCAAAGGCAAACAACGGTAACTCAAAAGGAAACCAAAATACAAACCAAAGGCAAACGCTAAGCAAACCAAAGGTTAACCAAACGCAAACCAAAGGAAAACCAAAGGCAGACCCAAAGCAAACCAAAAGGTAAACCAAAAGCAAGCCAAAGGTAATACTCTCGCCGGATGCTATCCTAACCCTTTCAACACGATTCGCGGGGCGGGTGCCCTCTGGAGTGTCATTTGCGCTTTCCGTTGTTTGCCGCGCTGGTTTGCAGAATTTCGCGCCAAAAAAAGACGGCTAAAATTTGGGTGTCCTTTCTATCCCCTGCATTTTTTCCAAAAACCTGCGTTTTACCATTCTTTTGCGAGGTGCTTTCTGCGTTGAGCTGGCTCGTTGCGCGTGCCTTTTTTTGCCTTTTCTGGGTCAAAAAAAGACGGCTATTTCTCCGCTTCTCCTTGCTTGCTTCCTGCTTGCGTGTTTTGCGCTGGGACCTGCCTCGGGGATGCTGGGATGCTGGGTGCTGACGGCTCAGCCAGTACGCGGGATGCTGGGGATGCCGGGGATGCTGAGGATGCTGATGCTTGGGCTTCACACTTTGTTTGAGGAGCCTGTGTCGAGGTGCTCCTTTGGACTGATTCGAGCTGTTTCCTGGCGTGTCCACGGATCCTTTTTTCGTGTGAGCAATGGCTGCAAAAAGACGGCTAAATTTTAGGCGTTTTTTTTGGATGCTTTTAGCGCTCGGCGTTCACTGCCTATCGCTTTCGGTCTGCGGGCGCTCGCTTCTTCAGTAGGTAACTTTGGAGCCTGTCGCCTTTCAGTGTTTTAGTGGTGCTTTCCATTCGTTACCTACAAACAAGCGGGCTATTGAAAGCGCAGGGCGGGGCAATCACCTTTTGCAACACCCTGAAATGCCCTTACACAATGATTGCAAACCAAAGACAAACCAAAAGCAAACCAAATACTAACCAAAAGCAAACCAACAGCAAACCGAAAGTAAACCAAAGGAAAGGTAAACCAAAAGCAAACCAAAAGCAAACCGAAAGTCAACCAACAGCAAACCAAACGTAAACAGAAGTAAACCAAAAGCAAAGCAAAGGCAAATCAAAGGTAAGCGAAAGCAAATCGAATACAAACCAAAGGCAAACCAAAGGCAAACAAAAGGTTAACCAAACGCAAACCAAACGCAACCCAAAGCAAACCAAGGGCAAACCAAAGGGTGAAGCAAACGCAAACCAAAGGCAAACCGAGGCAAACCAAAAGCTGACCAAAAGCAAACCAAATTCAAACCCAAGTTAAACCAAAAGCAAACCAAAAGCAAACCAAAAGTAAACCAAAAGTAAACAAAAAGCAAAGGAAAGGCAAATCAAAGGTAAGCGATAGTAAACCAAATGCAAGCCAAAAGCCACCTAAAGGCAAGCCAAAGGCAAAACAGAGGAAAAGCAAAAGAACACCAAAGGTACACCAAACGCAAGCCGACGGAAAACCAAAGGTGAACCAAAAGCAAACCAAAGGTAAACAAAACGCAAGCCGAAGGCAAACCAAAGGCCAAAAGCCAACCAAAGGCAAACCAAAGGCAAACTAAAGAGAAACCAAATGCAAACCAAAAGCAAAACAAAGGCAAACCAAAAGCGAACCAAAGGCAAACCAAAGGTAAACCAAAACCAAACCAGAAGCAAACCGAAAGTAAACCAACAGCACACCAAACGTGATCCAAAAGTAAACCAAAAGCAAAGCAAAAGCAAATTGAAGGCAAGCGAAAGCAAACCAAAGACAAACCAAAGGCAAACCAAAGGCAAACCAAAGGCAAACCAAAGGCAAACAAAAGGTTAACCAAACGCCAACCAATGGCAAACCCAAAGCAAACCAAGGGCAAACCGAAAGCAATCCAAATGCAAACCAAAAGCAAATCGAATACAAACCAAAGGCAAACCAAAGGCAAACCAAAAGTCAACCAAACGCAACCCAAAGCAAACCAAGGGCAAACCAAAAGGTGAAGCAAACGCAAACCAAAGGCAAACCCAGGCAAGCCAAAAGCTGACCAAAAGCAAGCCTAAAAGAAAATCTGAGTTAAACCAAAAGCAAACCGAAAGCAAATCAACAGGAAACCAAAAGTAAACGAAAAGCAATCGAACAGGAAAGGAAAGGCAAATCAAAGGAAAAGGATAGCAAACCAAATGCAAACCAAAAGCCACCCAAAGGCAAGCAAAAGGCAAACCAAAGGTAAATCAAAAGCACACCAAAGGTACACCAAACGCAGGCCGACGGCAAACCAAAGGTGAACCAAAAGCAAACCAAAGATTCACAAAACGCAAGCCGAAGGCAAACCAAAGGCCAAAAGCCAGCCAAAGGCAAACCAAAGGTAAACCAAAGGCAAACTAAAGAGAAACCAAATGCAAACCAAAAGCAAAACAAAAGCAAGCCAAGGGTAAACCAAACGCATGGCGGAGAAAAAAGGCGGAAGGCAAACCAAAAGCAAATCAATTGCAAACCAATTGTAATCTAGAGGCAATCCAAAGGTAATTCAAAGGGAAACCGAATACAAACCAAAGGCAAACCTGAAGCAAACCAAAGGTTAGCCAAACGCAAACCAAAAGGCAAACCAAAGGTAGACCCAAAACAGGCCAAAAGGTAAACCAAAGGCAAATGAAAGGTGAACCAAACAAGTGTGTGTTAGAGGATACTCTCTGGATGCTATCCTAACCCTTTCAATATGATTCGCGGGGCGGGTGCAATCTGGAGTGTCATTTGCGCTTTCCGTTGTTTGCCGGACTGGTTTGCAGACTTTGCAGATGTTCGCGGTTTCGCGACAGAAACAGAACTGCGGACCGTTCACACGGGACCGATCCGCAGGGAAAACCGTTAATCCCTTCTTCCTAATGCTAAAAATACTTCAACCGATTTTTGAAAACCAAAATCCGGGAATACTACTTTTAGAATAGCCAGCACTAAACTAATTCTAAAGTAGGTAGTTTCCCGCCCGTGCCCAAATCCAGCCCTATTAGGGAGCCCTTTTTACACCTTCAATCCTTCAAGCCATATTTATTAAGTGGGGGCTCTTTGCAGAAAAGGGAAGCCAAGGGTTCCACTTTTTCAGGGTCTGCCTGCCTCCTTCAATTCCCGGCATTCCCAGCCCTCGTCCGCTGCCTGTCTTTTTCGCGGGTGGCTCGGGTAGCTGGCTGTCTTGTGGCCAGTTGGCCTGCCTGCCTACGGTTTGCAGACTTTGCAGACGTTCGCGGTTTCGCGAACGTAAACAGAACGTTCACACGAGACTCCGGGAACGATCCACAGGGAAAATCGTTGCATAACCGACTCTAGCGCATCACACAGCATTCCAGCTGGTCAGCGAACTGCTTGTTGATGCTTGCTGCCTTCTGGTAGATCTCACGGAAGAGGGAGTGCTCAGAGGCCGCAAAGCCGAAGTCATAGGCTAGATAGGTGACCCAAAGCTTCTCGGATGTCATCATGATTGCCGAACGCACCACCAACAGGTCCTCGTCATACTCCGGGTTCATGCAAACCATGTCCATGACATGTTGAAGGGTGATCAAGTTGAAATGGTCCAGGGGATGCACCACGGTGGCGAGAAAGAGCGCTTCCCCGTCAATGCCCGGGAAGTCGTGCTGGTAGTGTTCAAAGAGCTGGAGGAATTTTCCTGGCCCAAACTGATCCCGCCCGCTGCAAACAAGTCAGCGGTTTGCTTTTGAACGGGGAGAATGAAGGAAACCGAAAAGGCAGAAAATTGAACTGGCAAGCTAAGCCGTGCTTCTGCGAATGTGGACTGTGAAGCTGACCAACTTGCTGTGTGGCATCAGCGCTTTGACCTGAGGATGAGGCGGCACATGTTGTTTGAGCACCGATTCGAGCATCGTCTTGAAGCGCTGTGCGTCTACATTGCCGAAGCCAAGCAGGCACATCAAATCGCACCAATGCCCAAACGCATTGACCCCATAGTAGTTGTACAGCACGGTGGCAATCGAGTTGCGCCGGACCACTGGATTGCCGCTGTCCGGGTCGGTGGCCCAATTGCCGAAGGCATGAATCATGGGATGAACAAGGTAGGCACAGGCCATGTTCAGCAGAACCATGGCTTCATCTGCCGACAACGTCAACCCTCCGAAGGAAGCACTCATGAGCCTGCGGCAAGACAGATGGACAGTGGCAACCAAGTCCTTGTGCACCAGTTTTGCACCTTTCTCTGCAAAGTGAGGAACATCGGGGATCACAAACTTGGCAATGGCATCGATGGTAGGATCGGCCGTTACGCTCTGCACGTAGATGGCAAGAGTTGTTTCTAGAAGCAGCTCGGCGCAAGTCTTCGCGGGGTCCTGAACCTTGCAGCAAAGACCAAGTCTGCGAAGAAGTTGCATGAGGCCATAGCGCAAAACACCTGGCGTGTCCTTGCCACCAAAAATCATACTCACCCATGCGCCAAGTCCGATGAACACACGCCCCCAAAGAAAGGGCTCGAACGACAAGTGCACGTGATCCATGTCAAGTTGGCCAGCAATGTTGCTGTCCAAGCTGCCCAGGGAAAGCTGGCTCACAGCAGAGCCCAGCCGTTTGTAGGTGCGCGGTCTAGTCACCTCATTCTTTGCACAGAGCAGGCGAGCAAGCTTTGTAATCTCCTCCTCCGCAGGCAATGGTATGCTACTGCGAGGCCGATGCTCCAGGTTGGGGCGACGCTTGTGGGAGGGGCTGTCGGGACTTGAGCGAAGCTTACGATGCTGCATGAACTTCCTCCAACAGGCCCATGCGTCCCAGGTGTACCAGGTCAAAAATGCAACCCAGCACCACATCGCCCAAAGCATGACACAAGAAATCCAAGTGCCAGTGCCCTGATGCTGCACAAAGCCGCAGATAACCGCGTTCATGAGGTAGAAGAGAACCAAGGCGCTGGTCATAGCCATGTCCATGCTGAACCTGGAAGTATCCTGAAGCTCTTGGGGCTGAGGTTGCGAACGCGTAGGCCCTGCACAAAAATAGCGCTCTGCGAAATGACAGCCAAAATAGCTTCGAGCGGAAAAACAGGAAAGAAATAGGTGAAGGGGGCAAACCGACGGAAAACGAGGCACGCTACCGTGGATCAGGAATTTCGGGGCAACTCATGGATTCCAAACCTCCCCATATATCGCCTTCAAGCATCACCCAACGGAAACTCGACCTCAAATGGGCCACCAAAGAGAAATACAGGCACGTCGGCCCGCCTCATTTGATTTGGAGACTGTGTCCGCCTGCACTTCTCCAGGTCGCGCCTGCACTCACAGCCTCAGAAACCCACGGAAAAACATGGAAAAACAAGGGCGCCCTCCACACAAGGGTGGAGTCTGCGAAGCCGGGAAGAAATGACGCCTGGCTGCACGGCGCACAAAATCGGACGGGACGTGACTTGTATGAGAACTTTGCTAAAAACAAAACCCTCTGAAAGGCGAACTGATTGAGGAACGTGCAACTACTTCGCAATGACTGAAAGGAACAGAGAAATAAGGTAGGTCCCAGAGAAAAATCAAACTGGTGCCAACTATTTGCAGTTGGTCCTCTTCGAATTTTATCACTACGGCCTGTTTCCCCCAAACGTGATCTGCCTCCAGAATGGGTTGCCCCTGTTGCTCAGTCCAGGGTTTGATGATACCGGGCTAACATTGGCAAATTGATTGACCTGGCACTTGCGACGGACATTTCAATCAAGCGCGTGAAGCGGGCTTCGCACTGCAAGCCAGTGCGCCAGGGTACCCTCTGGTCCCACCACTCTGGGTAGCCAAGGCCCGCACCCGACGTTCGAACAACTGGTTCTGCGAGCTCTGTCCTTCCCATGATGAGTCTCTCGTCAAGCAAGCAATACGCATCTTTAAGCCAAGCGCCACGCCTGTCTCCACGGACCCTGGACGGGAAGCCACGAGTCAACGGCTGCCATTCAGAAAACACCTGTCCCAAATGCCTCGACTCCCTCCCCGAACGGCCCTTGCCTTCTCGCAGGCAGCTGCACACCAAGCCCGGCGGGCTACCTGCCTGGGCCAAACAAAAGCACGTCCATCAAATTGGCTGTGCCTTATCGGTCTTCTGCGCAGGGATTGCAAAGGCGCCGGACATTCCATGAACACCGATTCCAATCAAAATGGCTGTGCCTTATGGGTCTTCTGCGCAGGGATTGCAACGGCGCCGGACATCCCATGAACACCGATTCCCAGGTTTTACTCCCACGAAAGTCGGCAAATGGGAACTATGGGAACAAGCTGAAACTGCCTGGCTGCACACCCTAGTGTGCACCCACTCATTCACAGCCACGCGCTTGGCGAGGCTCGCGTGATTTACAGTGCTGCTCGCGGCCCCTGCGTCGCCCTCTACGCATGGAAATTTGACCGCCAACAAAACAAACACAAATATCAATTCTATCCTGCCCCAAGCGCAAAAAAGAAGAAGAAGAGAAACGACCGAGGCCCCCTCGCCGAACCTTTGAACGACGAGTTCTGCGAGCTCTGTGCTTTCCATGATGATGTCTCCCTTCAAGCAAACAATATTCATCTCTATGTGTCACACCTGCTTTTCTCAGGAGGAGTCGTCTCCTCGCCACCGGAAGCGGCCAGTTCCAACGGCTGATCCGGTCTCAGGTCTCCACCGGTCGCGGCGCATGAAGATCATGTCACCTGCCGGGCGAGCGGCTCTTCGTTGGACACGCACCAAATTTGGAGATCAATGGCGGGTTTCCGTGGATTGTGCACCAAATTTGGTGATCCCATGGATTGATTGATGGAATTCCCAATTATAACCCAAAATTCCATGGATTTATGCCAACCATTTTGCTCATTTTGGGGCGCTCCAAAAAAATGAATCCGCAGCTGGAGGATTGCCTTTCCACGCGCTTTCTTTCCTGACTGAGCCAAATTGTGGGAGGTCCCAGAAACGCTGCCACACCTGTCTTGCCGGGAGGCATCGCCTCAGCGCATATGCGCATGCCGAACAGCACATTTGGACAGGGGTCCTTCCACTATTTGGGGGCTGCCCTATTCGGACACAAACTCGCACTCTAGTGGTTAATCTCTGTAGCCCTTCCGCAAAATCACCTCTCCTTCAGGAAGCTGTTACTCCGAGTTACTCCTTCCGTCAAATTGGATGGAGTATCATAATAGTGAGACATGCTCGACTCACCTCGACGCATGGCAGTGGAAGCGAGCATACAGGGCCCATAAAGAGCCCTCCCTTTTTCCCGAGATACGGGGCACGCATTTGCAAATGATGTTGCACTTTTACTTACTGGCTTCAGACCACAAGGGGCCGATCTGATTCCCTCCGGTACAGAAGCCAAACGACAACCATCTTGGGTTTTCCTAAAATACAAAACACATGCACCCACACGCGCGCACACACACACACACCTACACACACCTACACACTTTTGCCGTTCACGTCGTCTTTGCGGACCGGCTTTTCTAAACAGACAAGCAGTAGCTGCCCATCACCCTAAGGGCTGCCTTGCAGTTTCCTGACTTTGACCGAGCGCGCAGCGGAAGAACTTGCTAGACACTGCTCCATTTGTTTGATGGCCTGAGCCCTGAAACGCTCGGTGGCAAGCAGGGCAGCTCAGAGAATGCCTGTTGAACGATGTAGCGGGTATCTGGTTTCACCGTCCTTGGGGTTTCGAAGAGAAGCCAAAAGGAAACCAGGCCCCCGTTATTTTGGAGGCCCCGCAGTTGGAGACAACCCCGTTTGTTTCACGAACCAATAGAGTAACAATGAAAGACCAGTACCAACAGGTTTTTAGTACCCAAACCATGTAAAGAGGGACCGGCCCCTTCTCATCTACCCATGCTATGATGGCGGCTCGACAGAGCTCCCATCTTCCTATTCTTCCTCTTTCTCTAGCCTCAAACCACCGGCCAAGGCAGGGGAACAACCAGTCTATAACGACTGCGTAATTGCATTCCACCAGCATAGACCCCAGAGAGCGAAAAACATGCCGACGATCAAATCACTTCCCCTTTTCTTAGAAGTTAGAACCCCTATAGCTTTCAGCTATCTGGGGAAAAATACACATCCTAATTTTCCCTGAACTGGTGTGGGAGTAGCAACCCTATCGCCCTTTTCACTTCGTCCACCGCTTGCTCCTTGGAGCTGCAACCTTCTCCTGCAGTTCGGGGTGGGGGAAAGGGGCCGAAATGCCAACTCCCATGGCTCATTGAAAAAAAAGGCAACTCTACGGGAAAGTAGCAAAACACTTGACACAAATCAGAGTTTTGGACAGACAACACACAGATTCCGGTGGCTGTTTTCTTCTAGCACGCTTTGGCCTGATTCATGCCGATGACCCTGAAATGGACCTGAGATCCTTTCAACAGGAACCCGTTAGGGGAGGTGGTGGGGTTGTTGGAAGGGCGATTCCCTAAATATCAAAGAGCAAATACCAATGGAACCCTGTAAGTTGTTGTGTTTTGTGGCGGATTTACTTGCAATATTTGAGAAACTACCATAGTTTCAGTAGAGCGTTCCCTCTTCTCCCTCCATAGCGGTCGTCCTTGAGACTGTCCAGCTCACGCGGGTGAAAATGCACTACCTGCAACAGGAAGCATGGGAGAGACGCAATTTTCATGGGGGCGGGGGGGGAGGGGGGGGGGGAAGGGAGCCCCAATAAGCCCCAAATAAGGCCTTGTTTGGGCTTCATAAGGCCTTATTTGGGCTCCCTCCCCCTCCCCTCCCTCCCCAGCCCCCATGAAACTTAGACAAACGCCGCACAGCAAAAGCGACCCCATGTTGCGCATCACTTTGCCCCTACGAGGCTTGTGCTTCAGTCAAGGACACCTATCAAGACGCTGATGCACATCGCGCTCTGAACTATGGGCAAACGCAAGTGATCGCAGAGCCCGGTCCTCGCTGGGTTCGCTTGCGGGACCAGCGCCATTGACGTTGACTGGGGTCACCTGAGTCGTGAGTGGCACATCCGCAATCTTGCGATTTGCATTCCTGTGGATGGGTTCCCGGGCTTTTTCAGTCCCTGGTCCGCGACCGACTGTGTTTGAGGCTTCGCCCTGCAAATCTCCGGAAGCAAAATACGCAAACATGAGCCACGCTCGCAATGTCGCCACCCCGAAAAGCGTATCTAGGAGCCCAAGGGCGCGCCTGAGGCCCGCGGCGGCCAACTGGAAATACCACCAACACAGGTTGCCTCTGGCGGGTTCCCGCTTCAAACCAGCCAACGTGGGGTCCTACCCCAGAGAAACGCAAGCACACGCAGACACACACTCACACCCGCCAAGGGGCAGTCGCCTGATATCGGATGTACTTTGGCAAGGACTTCGGGGCGTCAAAGAAGGGCCTCAGCTCCACTCGCGCCTTCCCGCACTCTGCGATTTTTTGGGTGTCACTGCTCTCTCAGTGTGCTCTCTCAATGTGTGTCTTGTGTGTGTGTGTGTCTATAGTAATCATCGGCCCATGAGCCACGATCTCCTGTAAACTGAGAAATTGTGATTAAGCCATGCTTTCCCATTCATCCTTGAACCAAGTTGCAAACAAGCGCTTTCTTGACATTCGCAAAATGCAACTTCAGCAAAGACCGCGCAATCCACTACGAAAAGTGTGCTTTTAAAAATCGGGGGCCCCCTATCAACTGGCCATGGGTCCAAATCCAAATCGTACCCCCAGTGAACATCCCAATCCAACCACTAAAATAGGTTCTGAAATGAGTGGTGAAGTCCCCTTACCAACCAAAATGGGATCCCAAACCGGTTTTGACAACCACAGTCAACTGGGGCCGGGTCAAAATAAAACCACCAGGGGACCGCAGGTTTTGGTCCATGTTTCCTTTTACCGGGGTTTCATTCTGGGTACCTATATTTGACCTCTAAAATGGGTGGTGAATTCACCTACCAACCAAAATGGGATCAAATATAGTGACTACCAGTTAGAATATCGACAATTCACCAAACGTGCCTTAGAACGTCAAGCCCGTGGGTAGTTAAATAAACATGCCGAGTAGCAGTTAGAACACCAGGCTGCACAAATGCAAACATCTC